TATTTTAACTTTTATGCCACTCCCATTAGTGCCAAGGCACTACTCTGTGCAGTTTACAGTCAATACACCAAATAAAAATAAAAACACTAAAAATAATTAGTAAATCACTATTAAAACAGATGGGGCATACCAATAATACAAAGAGAAAGGCAGATGAAAAAGCGTAGTCAACTGGGGGCCTGGCGAAGCTCCTCCAGAAGATGATTCAACAAATTTGGGCTCACCACAAAGAAGGCCCTGTGTCTTCTAGAAGACTTATGTGCCTCTCTCGGGGTGGTGATCTGGAGGAGCATTACCTGTGATAATCTAGTGGGTCCAGCAGATGATGTTGGGGAAAGACTCTCCAACAAGTAAACTGTGACGGGCTTTATACATGAATGTCAAGACCATGAACTTGATCTTGGGCACCATGGGCAACAAGTGAAGGAGAGCCAGAACTGGAGTGATATCATCAAATTTGCTTGCATCAACAATCATTCTGGCTGCCGCATTCTGGACCCACTGTAGTCTTTGAATCAGGCCCAAGGGAAGCCTCATGTAGAGAGCATTGCACTAGTTGGTCTGGGAGATGACCAGGGCCTGCGCAAAGGTCCTGAGGGAACCCTCATCGAAGTAGGGGTAGAGTTGGGCAATTAGCCTAAGTTGGTTAAAGGCTGATCTGGACATGGCTGCAGTCTGGGACTCTCAAGAAAAAGCTGGGTCCAGAAGAGCACCCAGATTACAAACTTGATCACTAAGCTCATTGATTGAGCTTGGGACTTCTGTTACAAGAGACTCGCTGATTTTGACATAATAATTTCATTATGTTAGAGAACATCATTCTCCTGTCTGGTTTCTCTTTCATCAGAAAGGTCTGCATCTCTCTTCTATGATTTTTCTTCAGGTTTGCAGTGCTTATAATTGGGACAGTGTGTACCCCCCTTGCCCAAATGTAAACTTTCTGATTAGAAGTAATAGTGGAGAATACAGTGGTGCCTCGCACAACGAGTGTCTCACACAACGATAAATTCACACAACGATGGCTTTTCCTGAAAAATTTGCCGCCTCACACAACGATGTTTCCTATGGGGAATTTTCGCACAACGATGTCCCTTTTCGCTCCTGTAAAAGTGCCTTAAACTGTTTGAAAAGTGTTTTAAATGCTTGCAATTGTTAGCCCACCTCCTGAAACCTATGCAAACTTAATTTGGTGTTGTTCTGAGTCTTTGTTAATTTTTGGTGATTTTTTGTTTTCTCCATTGAAAGCCATTGGACGGATTGGAACGGATTAACCGGTTTTCAATGCATTCCTATGGGAAATGGTGTTTCACAGAACGGTGTTTTTTTTTTTGAGCCAATTAACATCGTTGTGCGAGGCACCACTGTATTTTATTGCCCTCTTTTTTTCCTCTGGGAGCTGGAGGTGAGAGAGGGGGAGAAACCTTCCATTGTGGTTTGCAACCATGCAAGCTAAAAATCTAATACTCTAGCTTTTTAAAAAAATGAAAGTTGAGCATTGCTGAATACTGAACTGAAGACCAAGTAGTACAGAATACACCAAGCACTGTATGGTGGGCAGGGTGGAAGTGTCTTTGGCTTTAACTAACAAGCTTCCCTGTCTGATGTCTGTCCTCCCTCTGTTTTCTCTCTCTTCATTTTTGTGTACCATGTCTTCCCTGAACTTTGTTGAACTTCCATTTAATCTGTGCCCATTAAAAAGTTATGGAGCAGGATATGATATCCTGAGTGTCTCACGGGTGAAACATTTAAGGACTAAGAAGGTCTTCGGTATCAATGTGGAAATTCCAAAGCTGGGGTTGGTTTCCACAGGATCTAAGAATGTTGACAGTCTGTGCTTTAATTGATTCAAAAGCAAGCATGCACCAGAAATACATTCCTTTAGTGTTGTTGATGTATGCCATTAAGTCTCTTCTGACTTATGGTAACCTTATGAATGAGAAATCTCACTTATGGTAACCCTATGAATGAGAAATCTCAAAGATGTTCTGTTCTCAACAGCCCTGCTCAGCTCCTATAAACTCAAGACTGTGGCTTCCTTTAGGGAATCGATCTATCTCGTATTTGGTCTTCCTCTTTTCCTGCTGCCTGCAGCCTTTCCCAGCATTACTGTCTTTTCCAGATAATCTTGCCTTCTTATGTGCCCAAAGTAGAGTAGCTTCAGTTTCATCATTTGTGCTTCCAAGATAGTCAAGCAAAGTAGAGTAGCTTCAGTTTCATCATTTTTGTTTCCAAGATAGTCCAGGCTTGATTTCCTCTAGGACCCACTTGTTCATCTTTCTGGCAGTCCAGGATATCCCCAAAGCTTTTCATCAGCATCATATTTCAAATGAATTATTTTTTTTTCCTGTGAGCTTTCTTTACTGTTCAGCTTTCACACCCATACATGATGATCAGAAATACAAGAGGAAGGATGGTCTTGGTCTCTAGTGACACATCTTTACATTTGATAATCTTTTCTAATTCCTTCATTGCTGCCCTTCTGAGTCTCAGTCTTCTAATTTCTTGTCTGTAGTCTCCTTTTGGATTGATAATTTAAGGTATACAAAATCTTTTAGCCTTTTGTTTCTGATCATGGGGCATTCTTGGCAAAGATACTGGAGTGGCATTGCCATTTCCTACTCCAGGTGGATTGCGTTTAGTCGGAACTCTGCACTATGTCCTGTCCGTCTTGGGTGTCCCTGCACGGCATAGCCCATAGCTTCTCTGAGTTATTCAGGCCCCTTCGCCATGACAAGGCAGCAATCCATGATATGGCTGGATGAGATGGCTGGACAGTGTCTGCGAAGCAACCAACATGAATTTGACACAACTCCAGGAGGCAATGGAAGATAGGAGGGCCTGGCATGCTCTGGTCCATGGGGTCACAAAGAGTCGGACACGACTAAACGAATAAACGATACAAAATCTTTCAGTATTTCAATTTATTTGTAGTCAATTGTTAAAGTTATATAGTTCTTCTGTAAACATGATTTTGTTGTTCTTAATGTTCAAATGTAGATCTGCTTTGGTATGTTCTTCTTTCACTTTCATTAAAAATCATTTCAAGTCATTGCTGCTTTCTGCCAGTAAGATGATATCAGCTGCATATCTTAAATTACAATGGTGCCTCGACTTACGAACGCCCCAACATACGCACATTTTGACTTACGAAGAGCTCCGTTCACAAAAAATTGCCTCAACTTGTGAACGGAGCTTCGACTTATGAACAAAAAACTGGGAAAGTGGGAAATGGACTTTGAACTGCTGGTACTGTAATTTTAAAATGTAAAAATTGGTTTAAAAGGTGCTTGGTTTGGTTTAAACCTACTTGGTTTTAAAGTGTTTTGTTTAAAAAGTGTTCGTTCCCTCCTTTCCTGCCCTTTTTTAACCTAAGTCATCTTAGGTTAAAAAAATTCTCTCCCTAGTGGTAGAGGACGGATTAACCAGTTTTGCATTAGTTCCTATGGGAACTAATGCTTCGACTTACAAACGACGCTTCTACATACAAACAAAAAACAGCTGGAACAGATTAATCGGTTTTCAGTGCATTCCTATGAGAAATGCTGATTCGACTTACAAACTTTTCAACTTACGAACATCTTCTGGGACAGATTAAGTTTGTAAGTTGCGGCACCGCTCTGTTGATGTTTCTTGCACCAGTTTTTGCTTCTCGTTCATCTGAATCTACTCTGGCTTTCTGTATGATATGTTCTGTGTTGAGATTGAACAGATAAGGGGATAAAATGCACTCTTGTCTGACACTTTTGCCTAAATGAAACCATTCTGTCTCTCCATATTCTGTTATAATAGTAGCTTCTTGTCCACAATACAACTTATACATCAAAACAATCAAGTGCTGAGGTACAGCTGTTTCTTTCATAGCTACTCATAGTTTCTTGTGATCCACACAATCAGAGGCTATGCTGTAGTTTATAAAGCATAGACTGATCTTCTGAAATTCTTTGGTGCACTCCAGTAGCTAGCAGATACTTGTAATATGTTTTTGAATGCCTCTTTTTGGAATCCGGCTTGAAAATTTCTCACTCAGTGTAGCCTAAAGGCCTTTATTGTGACACCTTGAGCATCACTTTGCTTGCATGGGAAATTGAAACAAAGGTCTTATAGTTCCTTCACTCACTGGCTTCTTTCTTGGGGATGGGAATGTATATCAAACATTACAAGTCTGTATACTGTTGTTTTGTTATTTGTATTTCTTGGCATATTCTTGTTAGGATTTTAACAGATTCCTTCTCTGTGACTGAAAATAGTTCTATCAATATTCCATCTACCATGTGATTTAAATCTTCCCGATGCTTTCAGAGCAGCTTTCACTTCGCTTTCTAAAACTGCAGACACTTCATCATAGGTTTCCCCTTCAAAAGAGGTTGTCATCCATTTATCTCTTTTGTATAGGTGTTGAGTATATTGTTTCTGCCTTCTCTTTACTTTCTCCTGGTCAGAAAAGAAAAACCTAGATGGATGACAAATAAAACACTTAAAATTGTAAATGACAGGTGGGAAACAAAAGTGAAAGGTATCAGAAATAGTGTCATTAACCCTGAATACTGTTTTTCAGTGACTGTCACATAAAGATAACTATTACAGTACTCACTGCAAAGAAATAAAGGAGAACAACAAAAGGGGTAAAACAAAAGACCTCTTCCAGAAGATCTGAGAACTCAAGTCCATTAGCCTAGTTGATATTAATGTTTGTGGACAGCTGGCTGCCTATTTATTTGTTTAAATTTTTTTACCCTGCCTTTCTCCTAAAAAAGGAACCAAGGCAACTAAAATCATTTTTAAAAGACAATGTTCTTGGATAAATAAAAAAATATGATCTTTACCACAGAGGGAGGACTGGGTATATCTAATATATTACTATGAGAAATATTATTGACATTTATAGTTAATAATAAAAAATAATTTGGAGTAAACTGGAATTTTTTAAAGCTGAAGAAATGTCATTAAGGCCTCTAGGCAGCCTATGGATTTTTAAGGGGAAAAAGGGAGTAGCAACTTTTAAAACCAAGGAAATAGAAATTGTCCAGTTTAGAATAAATATGCATGCATATGTTTGTTTAGTTTTTTAAATATTACACAGTGTGGCTTTTGGATACAACAGATTTTGTGTTTGTTATTGCAAATTTCTTCCTCTTTAATTTCTTGGCTATTGACAAAAGGAGAAGACAATAGTTATTTTGGTCAAGAAATGTAGTTTATTACTGTATTGCAAACACACTTAAGAGAGTAGTACATTCTGAGACCAGCTGGTCTGTGGCTGGTCTGGACTTGAACCCAGGGCCTTCCGATAAGTCAGAACAGTCTGCATATAGAAAAGGAGATATTCATTGTGCTGAAGTCCTAATCTCAACCAAAAATACTCCTAAACCTTACCCACTTCCTCATTCTTGGCTTTTGAAAAAGTATCAGCTGCTGGCTGCATGCTTGGAAACACGAGGACTCGATATTGAAAAGATGCACATAAATTACTAAGGTGCAACATTCTACTCAGAGTTCTGACGCCTGTGCTTGTGTTTCTACTATTGGACATAAGAAATTCATGCAACATTATACCTGTGGATAGTAACTATGGAAAGCAAAGTGTGTGGTGTATGTTTGAGCCTCTGTATTTGGAAGTAGGCAACTGAAAAATGGGGAGTAAGTGCTCAAGAACATGTAGTTGAGTAATTTCTCCCCTGCTCTTAACACCATTCCTTTTTGCTTCCTCTTCTTCAACAGGGAAATGCTTCCTGTACTGCAATGGCCTGATGGACCACCTCTATGTGTGTCAGAATGGCAATGGCTGCACGGCTTGGTATAAAAGCCCTACTTGTTTCACAGGCACCATGGTAAGGAGCTGTCTACTGAAGCACTGAAGCATCAGCTCAAAGGGAAGACGTTGCAGTTCCACAGTCAGTTTGAATGCTTTTGGTTTGAGTCAGGCAGTGTGTTCTCTTGGGGTGGAAATGTGATGGAACCATATGTGGTATGGACATCTCCCCACTGCACGTCCTAGTGGCCTTAGTTCTTGGCAGGGTTTTGCTTTCTGGGAGTCCCAGTTGAATGAGCCCACAAAAAATTACCATCTCAAAATTGCTTGTTTACTGCTCTAAGGGGCTGGGAGACTGTGGCCCAAGAACCTTTCTTACATGGCCAGCATGGAGATGGAGGCAGCTACAGTACTTGTAAAGAGGAGAAGGAGGAGAAGAAGAATACTACCAAAGAAGAAAGAAAAGGACGGGCATAACTTTCCTCCCCTTGTTCACTTTCTTGTCTATACTGTATAAGGAGTTTCCTGTGGCAAGTTAGCCAGTTGTGCAACGCAAGGCTGAGGTCAGTCCAAAAGTAGTAGCAATTTTACAGACATCCCAGTTTCAAGCAGAGTTAGAGCAGATGAGTGAAAGAGCTTGCTTCTGTCCCTATTATTAATTTGGAGGAAGGATGGGGAACCCTTAAATGATAATTCAGATACGCTTTCAGGGCAGTTGCAGGGCAGTTGTGGACAAGGCAAAAGATTTGAGCTGAAAATGCCAGCATATTTTAGTTCAATAGGCTTAATGCCAATAACTGAGCTGTAAATCAAGGCATTTCAGCCTTTGAAAGTCAGCAAATCTTGTACAAAAGCTGGGAAGCCATGGAACAGTAGTGACATGGGAAAGGGAGACGTGTCCATTTGAGGATCTCCAGAAGGGTCAGATTTGATCTCAAGGGTTGAGGTTCCTGAACTCCTATTTAGAGGTTTTTCCTTGCTAACGTCCCCCTCTAACTGTCTTTCCTTGCCTTTTGCTCATTCTAGGATGCTTTTGTGAAGATAATACGCCATGAGGGCATCCGATCTTTGTGGAGTGGACTTCCACCCACTCTGTGAGTCTGACCACAGTAAATAGATATGATTAAAATAACATCCCAATCAGTCTTAAAGTGTTCTTGTTTAAAAGCATGATTAACTCTTTATTGTTGCTGTAATACTAACTTCCTGCCAAACTCACCTTCCATTTATTCTAAACTGTTGCTCCCCTTTCCCAAATGTATACATCCATCTTCAAGAAAGTAATAACACTTAGAGGTCATTACATCCCCCACTTTAGCCTGGTCCTTGGAAAGGTTCTGTGGTTTCTATTGTGGGGAGAATGGAAACTTTCATTCAACTGATTGTACTCCAAGTACACTAATTTTTCATTGTCTTATATCCTGCATAATCTCATGCATAACTTCATTTTAGTTCTTTCTCCTTAAAAGATATTTCTTCTCATAGTTAGGAGTGGCCAATTGGTATCTAAAGATTAAAAAACAGAAAAGTGCTTGTCAGTCTTATTTGTCTACATTTTTCACTTGACAGTGTTTATTAAATTATGGCCTAAAATTGCCATGTGACCTAAGTTTTAGAAATCTGTGTTCTCAGAAATCTTGATGGCGTATGATAGTACAGTGGTGCCTCGCATAGCGAGGTTAATCCGTTCTGGATTAACCTTCGCTATGCGAAAACATCGCTAAACGAGAATAAAAAAGCCATAGAAACGCATTGAACTTTGTTCAATGCGTTCCTATGGCTTTAAAACTCACCGTTAAGCGATGTTGTCCCATAGCGCCGCCATTTTCGCGCCCTCGGTAAGCGAGGGCAGGGCGCGAAAATGCGGCGCGGACCTTCCGGTGGCCATTTTGGAACCGCCAATCAGCTGTTCTCCCGGCTTCGTTATGCGATATTCGCTAAGCGAAACGCTTAGCGAATATCGCAAAGCGAAAAATCCCCATAGGGGCCATCGCTGAGCGAATGCTCCAGCGATGGCCCAGAGCACCTCGTTAAGCGATTTCATCACTCAGCGAGGCGCTCGTTAAGCGAGGCACCACTGTACAAATTTATAGCACACTGGTATCAGAAACAGTGAGTTTTCTGTATGCACTTACACACAGTTCTTGCTAGAATCATGATGATGATTAATGTTCACAACTTTTCAACAGCGTGATGGCTGTCCCTGCCACTGTGATCTACTTCACCAGCTATGATCAGCTACGGGATTTCTTGCGTGCCAAGTTGAACAGCCAAGGGCGCTACATCCCACTAGTGGCTGGAGGTGTTGCTAGACGTGAGTCTCCCCTTCCTCTTGTTTTGCTCATGTTTCCACCAGCTGTATCAAATAGCATGCATAGGTTTTATAACTACCAGTTTTTAAAGCAGTTTTTTCTAGTGAGTTCACATCTACGTATGTTTTGTCTGTTTTAGGACAGGATTGTGTTATATTTTTTAAAAAAGAATTCGATATAAATAAGGCATCTGACATTCTTATAGTGTGAGTATCGTACCACACTGGAGGACTGAGACAGAGTAGTCATGCCACAGCTGTTTAGCCTTGGCTGCTTGGAGGTCTGATAATTCTTCATGAATTCATTGTAGAAAGCTATGGGAGGCTGCAAAATACCTGTGCGTTTATGAATTAAATTATGAATTGTAAGCCAGGCATGGGACGTGGTGGTGCTGTGGGCTAAACCGCAGAAGCCTGTGCTGCAGGGTCAGAAGACCAGCAGTCGTAAGATCGAATCCACGCGATGGAGTGAGCTCCCGTTGGTTGTCCCAGCTCCCGCCAACCTAGCAGTTCGAAAGCATGCAAATGCAAGTAGATAAATAGGGACCACCTAGGTGGGAAGGTAACAGCATTCTGTGTCTAAGTCGCACTGGCCATGTGACCACGGAAGATTGCCTTCGGACAAACGCTGGCTCTATGGCTTGGAAACAGGGATGAGCACCGCCCCCCAGAGCCGAACACGACTGGACAAAAATTGTCAAGGGGAACCTTTACCGTTACCTTTTTAAGCCAGGCAAATCATAGTTCATATGTTATCTAAGTCTTAATCTCAGCGTTTCCCGAACTCATGGCCTTAGATGTTTGTGTATTACAACTCCCGTGCTGGCTAGGGCTTCTGGGATTTGTAGCCCAAGGACATCTGGGGCCACACATTTGAGAGCTGTGCTTTAGATGCTCACTCAATGTGGGCTTCCCTTCCTCTCCATCTTCAACATGGAGATGATAACACTGCTGTACTTTAGGATGACAGTAAGAATTATTTCTTACTAAATTTTTGTGCTGCCATTCTATTGAAAGAAGTGCTCAAGGCAGATAATGGTAAACACTGAAGCATTAAAACAGAATCAAATAAATTAAAATATCAATATAAAGAATTAAACAGCATCCACAAGATTAAAAGTTATTTCAGCAAACAAGTCAGCTTATTGACTAAAAGCTCCTTTACCTGCCACTGAAAGCATATGAGAGAGAAAGCTCTCCTTGCCAGAGTTTGAAGTATAGGAATGGCCAGTAAAAAAGCCATCTGTATGTGAAACACCTTGAAATGTACTATGTAAAATGAGAACTATAGCTATTGCACAGGTAAAGAGAACATTTTTTTCTTTTTAAATGGGGAACATATCCTATTGTTATTCCATGGGATTATATGATATGAGAATGGTATTTGTTTCCATCTTGCTGAATCAGCCATCTTCAATGTCAGATAAAGATGGGGGTGTTGCAAGAGGGAAAAGGAGTAAGTGGTGTTATGCCGTTATGGAAAGGTTATGGTATAAGTGTTTCACTCCCTGGAAGGCTCCCTTTGCAGGCCCAGTGTTGCACTGCTTGCAACACCAGTTGTGCAGCTAGTTGTACAATTAGGTGCACAACAAGGGGCCTTTCCGAGTGGGGAAATGCTTACAAGATCACCCTTCTGCTCCAAATAGGATTCTGACCATCTTATGTAGAATCATTTGAAATGTATGTGATCACTGTACTTCTGCCTTTATATTCACCATCATGTATAAAATATTCTACTGGCTGGAGGTGTTGCTAGACGTGAGTCTCCCCTTCCTTTTGTTTTGTTCATGTTTCTGCCAGCTGTATCTAGTGATGTCACTGTGTTTTGTCTGTTTTAGGACAGGATTGTGCTATATTTTTTAAAAAAAGAATTTGATATAAATAAGGTATCTGACATTCTTATAGTGTGAGTATCCTACCACACTGGAGGACTGAGACAGAGTATTCAAGCCACAGCTGTTTAGCCTTGGCTGGTTGCAGGTCTGAGAATTCTGCATGAATTCATTGTAGAAGGCTATGGGAGGCTGCAAGATACTCGTGCATTTATGAATTAAATTATGAATTGTGAACCAGGCAAATCATAGTTCATATGTTATCTAAGTCTTAATCTCGGTGTTTGTTTCCCAAACCTGGGGTCTTAGATGTTTGTGTATTGCAACTCCCATGCTGGCTAGGGTTTCTAGGATTTGTAGCCCAAGGACATCTGGGGCCACACATTTGAGAGCCGTGCTTTAGATGCTCAATGTGGGCTTCCCTTCCTCTCCATCTTCAACATGGAGATGATAACACTGCTGTACTTTAGGATGACAGTAAGAATTATTTCTTACTAAATTTTTGTGCTGCCATTCTATTGAAAGAAGTGCTCAAGGCAGATAATGGTAAACACTGAAGCATTAAAACAGAAGCAAATAAATTAAAATATCAATATAAAGAATTAAACAGCATCCACAAGATTAAAAGTTATTTCAGCAAACAAGTCAGCTTATTGACTAAAAGCTCCTTTACCTGCCACTGAAAGCATATGAGAGAGAAAGCTCTCCTTGCCAGAGTTTGAAGTATAGGAATGGCCAGTAAAAAAGCCATCTGTATGTGAAACACCTTGAAATGTACTATGTAAAATGAGAACTATAGCTATTGCACAGGTAAAGAGATGAGGAATCGGCGCGAAAACACAGCGGGTGGCCATTTTTTTTACCCGGTGGCCATTTTGGAACCACCAATCAGCTGTTCTAAAAACATCGCTATGCGAAAATCGGTAAGCGAAACAGGGTACCGATCATCGCAAAGCAATTTTTTACCATTTAAAACATCACAATGCGATCGCAAAAACGATCGCAAAAAATCGTCGCTATGCGGATTTGTCGTTAAACAAAGCGCTCGTTAAGTGAGCCACCACTGTATAAAGAATTAAACAGCATCCGAAAGATTAAAAGCTATTTCAGCAAACAAGTCAGCTTAAAAGCCAAAAGACTTGTTGAGTAAAAGCTCCTTTACCTGCCACTGAAAGCATATGAGAGATAAAGCTCTCCTTGCCAGAGTTTGGAGTATGGGAATGGCCAGTAAAAAAGCCATCTTGTGCTTCTTGCTAAACGTACCTCTGTGGTTGGGGGAGCAGCAATATGGATCTGTATGTGAAACACCTTGAAATGTACTATGTAAAATGAGAACAATAGCTATTGCACAGGTAAATAGAACATTTTTTTCTTTTTAAATGGGGAACGTATGCTATTGTTATTCTATGCTGCATGATTATATGAGAATGGTACAAGTATTTGTTTCCATCTTGCTGAATCAGCCATCTTCAATGTCAGATAAAGGTGGGGTGTAAAATGCAGAGGGAAAAGGAATAAGTGGTGTTATGCAGTTATGGAAAGGTTGTGGTATAAGTGTTTCTCTCCCTGGAAGGCTTCCTTTGCAGGCCCAGTGTTGCACTGCTTGCAACACCGGTTGTGCAGCTAGTTGTACAATTGGGTGCACAACAAGGGGCCTCTCTGAGTGGGGAAATGCTTACGAGATCACCCTTCTGCTCCAAATAGGATTCTGACCATCTTATGTAAAAGCATTTGAAATGTATGTGATCACCGTACTTCTGCCTTTATATTCATCATCATGTATAAAATATTCTACCATTGGTTCAGTCCTGGCCAATCCTAGGTGTGGTGATATGTGTTCACTTAAAGGCTACCTTGATTTATATACCAGCAGCATTGTAATCAAAACTTCCCATCAGCTGTTTGCCATACATCTGTGTTCCGCTTGTTCTGGAGGTGGAAAGGCACCTGAGGCCTGTTCCTACCTGCTGTTTTGAACTCTTCCCTAGTGGGTGCTGTCACTGTAATCAGCCCCTTGGAACTGATCCGCACAAAGATGCAGTCTCGCCAGCTGAGCTACCGCGAACTACGTGTCTGCATCCAGTCAGCTGTGGCCCAGGATGGATGGTTGTCCCTCTGGAGGGGCTGGGGGCCCACCGTATTGAGGGATGTTCCATTCTCAGGTATGTATGCAGCAAAGGGGAAGGGAAATCGGGGGCAGTAGTAACAAATAGGAGTTAAGACGGTTGGAGTGCATTACATGTAGAGAAGTGGAAGGAATGAAGGATGCTTTGTTTTCAGGCAGTTTTTGCGACACCAAGGAACTTAAAAACTAAAAGTTTACCTCATCTCTCTCAAAGGCTTTTCCTTGCAATGGAGATGCTTCACCAGCCAGTGGATGCAACTGTTAAAGACATTGAGGCAGCAGTATTATCCTTGGAAGCTGTGGCATCACCATTTTTGGAATAGCCAACACTGTTGCCTATGGAATGGAGAGCGATCATTCCCTAGCATTCTTCCCTCCCTTCCTCTATTCAGATGATGGTGAAATAGATTTGCCAAAGAACCTTTGTCTCCTGATCCAGTGACCATTCCCTTGTCTTTCCTGGCTGTCTGACAGCTTGCTGTCCAAGCTTCTTGAAAGAATTGGCTAAACATATGTCTGGGGGCTCCTGGCATTGCCTGCGATTGATCAGTGTATCCCATTAGCACTTGGAGATTTACATAGTATCGGCTTTAGGACTTCATTCTGCTTCCCTCTGAGCAGTGCCATCTTCTCCAAGGGCCTACTAGACATGAGAAAAGGATCACTGATAGGCACCGTGCTTGGCAGAATTGCAGGTCTAGCATATTCCCCACAATCAAAAGGAAATTCGGCATTGTCATCCTCTCTCTTCTGACCTCCCTCTTACTTTTTTTCACAGCTTTGTACTGGTATAACTATGAACTGGTGAAAGACTGTCTTTGTAGCCAACTCCATCTTGATGAGGCCACCTTCATGGTCAGCTTTGCAGCTGGTGCCATTTCTGGCACGGTAAGTAATGGTGCTTCCAAGTGGCCTGGAAAGACTTCCCAAAGAGGGGAATGCAAAGGCCTCCTGGCCCTGTGCTCTCTAACTGTGATCTCGGACTCCTTCCTAATCAGCTTAGTTTCTGCAACCAGGAAGATTGCGAAGATGGCTGTCACTCTGCTTTGTTTGTCCACATTAGTTGGCAGAAGTAGGCATAGCCTTCTTCTAAAATATAAAACTTCCTGACCTTAGGCTTTCTGAGTGGTCAGTAGGTAAATACAGCACATCACAAGGTCTGGTTATTATGGCAAAACGTAACAGATATGCATAGAGTGCTTTTTAATGAGCAACTTAAATAGGTTTTTAAAATCATTTTAAACTTCAAGGCTTACAACTTAAAATTGATAACCCACAAACCATTTTTTCTTTTCCTGTGTGTGTTTTCTACATGAACTCTAAATAATTGGATCCCCAACAGTGGATTATTGTATCCAGAATGAGTTATTATGTTCTACCCACTCTTGGAAAGAGGGCTTGTGCAAATTAAGTAAGCTCTGTCAGCCTTCTCAGAAACAATATGGTTTTCTTCCACACCAGTGCAATTTCTGGTCAGTGTTGATTTTATCTCACCCCTTTCCACACATTTTAGAACATAAGGAAAGACGTGCTATCTATCCACACACAATACATTCTGCGATTATCTTCTCACCCCTTTCCACACATTTTAGAACATGAGAGACCTGCTATCTATTCACACCCAATACATTCTGGGATTATCTCACTACAGTGGTGCATCGCATAGCGATCGCTCTGTTTAGCGATGAAATCGCTTTGCGATGCATTTTTTGTGATTGCAAAAGCGATCGCTTTGCGATGTTCCCTATGGGGGAATTTCGCTTTGCGATGGTCAGTTCCCTGCTTGGGGAACTGATCATCGCAAAGCGACTATTTTCGCACAGCTGATCAGCGGTTTCAAAATGGCCACCGGGTAAGCAAAATGGCCGCCCACTGTTTTCTGGGACGGATTCCTTGCTTAAGAGGCACCATAAATGGCCGCGCTATGGAGGATCTTTGCTGAACTGTGAGTTTCCAGCCCATAGGAACGCATTGAAGGGGTTTCAATGCGTTTCTATGGGCTTTTTATTTTTGCATTGCGACGTTTTCGTTCTGCAGCGATTTTTGCGAAATGAATTAACGTCGCAATGCGAGGCACCACCATATTTCTAGAGCAGGATGGGTTTGCTGGTTGACTTTCAGGGTTCAGGGTGTCTACTTTTGCAACATAAATGAAACTCTTTAAATGTTTCTTTGATAATATCACAGAACTGGAAAATATAAGTCTCTGCATACAACAGGAAACACTTCCTTAATTTGCATAAGCTTTGCCTCTAGAGCAAAGGCAATAAATATACTCCTTCGTTCAATGAGAAGATACATTTGTGGTGGGTTCCAACATTACAGTCAAATGAAGGAAGCTATATGTCATTTGTTCCCATGTTGGGCCTCTGGGTGGTGTCTAAAAGACGGTCCCTATTATTTCTTAGGTGGCTGCTGTCCTGACATTGCCGTTTGATGTTGTGAAGACCCAGCGGCAGATTCAGCTGGGAGACATGGAGACCCTTCAAGGTGAGATGTGGGAGTTTATCAAATTGGATAGTAGTGTCACACGTCTGGCCAATGGCCAGTAGCTTCTTCAATCATTTTAGCATATGCTTGGATTTGTGTTGGGGGTAAGTAGTTCATAACAGGCAGTGCTGAAAAAGCAGGGGAGCATGGAAGTCAAAGGAAGGAGGGTGGCAGGGTAAAAGGAGTGATACGGAAAAGCTCAGAGCAATCCTTGCTCAGTGAAAAGGAGAAGCTGGCCCTGCTTTTACCTAAATTGAATTAGTTTCTGCAGGACTACTGGGCCTGTTGAAAAGTTTGGAGAAGGAACCAGCTGGAGACCAGGGTACCCCTGTTCTGGTTTCCTTTTGCCAGATGAGTTCTTGGTTTCACCTGTGTACTCAAAGGGACATTGCTTCTCTTTCCACAAAGACAAGACCTTGGTATCGGCCTCTGACTGGATATTAAATTTGCAGGCGGAAATACGGTGAATATGTAGGTAGAAGTGCCACGGATCATGTTATTTTTCTGGGACTTGTCTACCATGGACCCCTTGTAGCTTGCAGGGTTTCCTAGGGGTTACCTTTGTTGGGTTGGTGGAAGGCAACAGTTAAACGCCGGAAAGAGGGGAATGCTGCTCAGTGTTCTGTACTTGCGAAACATTGGGAAACAGGGAATAAAGCCATGTTGTGTATATTTAGAGAGATGGGACAAATCCTCATGATAGCACCTCTGTAATGCATTGGATAGAGCCACTTCCCATGCTCATTTGGGCTGCAGTCCTGTACAGCGGAAATAGGGGAACAAAAGGTTTTCCATCCAACTGCATAGTTCTTTTGTTATCTTTTATCAGAAAGATAAGAAAAGAGGCTATGGAAAGTTTAAACTGTTCTATGGCATTGATGGGGGACGTGGTGGCACTGCAGGTTAAACCGCAGAAGCCTATGTCTTGCAAGGTCAGAAGACCAGCAGTGGTAAGATCGAATCCATGCGATGGAGTGAGCTCCTGTCGCTTGTTCCAGCTCCTGCCAATCTAGCATTTCTAAAGCATGTAAATGTGAGTAGATAAATAGGTACCACCACGGTGGGAAGGTAACGGTGTTCTGTGTCTAGTCGTGCTGGCCACGTGACCACAGAAACTGTCTATGGACAGACACTGACTCTACAGCTTGGAGACGGGGATGAGAACCACACCCTAGAGCCGGACATGACTGGACTAAATGTCAAGGGGAACCTTTACCTTGCGGCATTGAACTATGCCTTCTGGAATGGAAAGCTGTTGGATGGGGCCTTTTCCCCGAGTCAGTCTGCTTCGACCCACATTGTGCTTTGTATGCTTGATAGGGAGATGGCCAAATTGGTAAAGACTATACCTGGCCCCACCTGCTTCTGTTTGGTTCATTACCCTTCCCAAATTAACATTTACCTCCCTGACAAAAAAAGATTTCTCACTATTACTGTGCATTGTGCACACATGTCTGGAAGAAAATCCCATTGAGTCCTGTGAGGTTTGCTTCTAAATAAACCTGCATAGGATTACAGTGGGGTCTCTACTTAAGAACTTAATCCGTATTGGAAGGTGGTTCTCAAGTTGAAAAGTTCTTATGTTGAATCTGCATTTCCCATAGGAATGCATTGAAAACCATTTAATCCGTATTTGCTCTTTTCCATCCATAGAAACTACAGTGGAACCTCTACTTAAGAACTTAATCCGTTTTGGAATGGTGTTCTTAAGTTGAAACGTTCTTAAGTTGAAGCAAAATTTCCCATAGGAATGGACTGAAAACCAATTAATCCGTTCTGGCTGTTTTTTTGTTATGTAGAGGTGCCTTCGTACATTGAAGCGTTAGTTCCCATAGGAACTAATGCAAAGCTGGTTAATACGTACTCTACCACTAGGGGGAGATTTTTTTTTTTTTACCTAAGATGACCTAAGGTTAAAAAAAGAGCAGGAAAGGTTTTTTTTCCTGTTCTCATCTTGGATTTCTGTTCTTAAGTAGAAGCAAAATTTAGCAAATGGAGCTGTTCTTAAGTTGGATTGTTCTTAAGTAGGGACGTTCTTAAGTAGAGACCCCACTGTATGCTGATTATGCAAGCCTGGACAGAGCACTGTATCTCTTCTTTCTCAGTGAACCTTGTAAGTTCACAGGATGTGAATTGCTTGCTGATTATGCAAGCCTGGACAGAGCACTCTTCTTTCTCAGTGAACCTTGTAACTTCACAGGATGTGAATTGCACATTTTGAAAAGCATCTCTTCCTTTATGAGCCTCCTTGCTTGTTAAGATTGTTGGGAAAGGTCTTGTCCTGTTTGCCATCTTTAATAGGAGAAAAACTGCTATGGGAGGGCACTAATTTTAGGTAGTGGCTTAGGTCTTTAAAACCTCAAGATGAAATTTGACAATATGCTTCTTCTGTACTTTGCACAAACGAAATGTAAGTTCCATCTGTATGTTCTGGCAGAAAGTTGAATCTGAGTCTGTTTTCTTAAAAAAACACCAGAAATTAAAGTGTTTTTCATCATTACTGGATTTTAATTGAATTGTTAAGAAACTATTCCTCATTCATGGATTTGTATTGATAATTTGATTCACTTTAAAAAGAAATGGAATCCATATTTTAATTAACCTCTGGCTTGTTCTCTCTCTCTTTCCTCAGTTAGTCCTTCCAAACCTTCATCTACTTGGTTGCTTATGCAGAAGATTTGGGCTGAATCTGGCACTCGAGGCCTCTTTGCAGGTATATGGTGCTTGCCTTTAGCTGGGCTTGTCATCTATGCTGTGTGATTGGGCTACTCCTAAACAGATTCTGAGATAAGGAAAGTGACTTATTTGGACTACTGCTGGGAGAAATCCACTGTAAACATGGCCTCTAGGGGCAGATTAGAAATTTAGATTGACAGCCAGGTCCTTAATGATAGTCTTTTAGTTGTAAACTTTTTCAATAGCTTTGGAAATTTGGACAGATTATTTCTCAGCTTCAATTGCCTGTAACCATACTCCACTCCAGAAGACTGAGTCGGGAGTCTTTTTGGAAAAGTTTGATATGGTCAGATGGTGTGTTGTGTGAACTAAATTCAGAAGAAGGCCAAGCGGTTGTTTACTCTTTCTTACCTACCATAACTGGGCTAGGCAATGAACACTGAATCTTGATCTTGACATTCTGGAAAAGGATAGTGAGATTGGACAGAGTCTGTCCTTCTGCTCCTTCTCCGCTTCAACCTTAAACCAGCTGCCTCTGCTTGAAAAAGGCAAGGTGTTGTTTTACTTTGTCTGATGTGTTTGTTTGTTTGTTCCTCCCTTCCCTCTCCCCCTCCCCCACTTCTACCAAAACCTTCTATAGGTTTCTTACCTCGTGTCATCAAGGTGGCCCCAGCCTGCGCCATCATGATCAGCACTTATGAATTTGGAAAGAGTTTCTTCCAGAAAATGAACCAGGAGCGGCAGCTCAGCAGCCTGTGCAGTCCATGAAAGGAGCCTTGATTGGTGGCCTTCTGATCGACCAAAGCCATCGGGATGGCAGTAGAAGGGACAGTTTTGGTAGAGACAGAGGGGAAAAAACCTAGAATCTCTGCATTTCAGAAGCTAGATAAAGTGAATCCAGTAGCTTGAGAAGCCCATATACAAGAAGCATTTTGGTCACTTTTCTTTGAAGATTTGTCTCATGTCAAAGAAATTGTGGATGCCTTCTGGAAAGACATTTGGTGATTTTAAACCTCTTAACTCTATCGCCCACTGTCATGTTAGGTCAAGTCTTACTGTTTGGATGATGCAGCGTTGCAACCTTTCTGCATATGCTGTAACACACAGGAGCTCCTGTCAACATTTTGCCGCCAATCAAAAGAAGTTGCAGCTGCTTCCTACTTCCTGTAAGATCTGAGCGGAATGTGGCTCCCATTGGCTGGTTGCAAATGAAAGGAGAAAGGAGAACGGGAGCAGGACTTGGCATTCCAAAGAAGATCCTTCTGCACAATGAATTCATTCCCCTAAGTCTCCAAAGAGTTAAAATTGTTATATTCAGAAACAGACCTCTTCAGTCCTGCCTTAATTTTAAAGTGTCTGTTGACCTGCATGCCTTCCTTTCTTTCCACATGAACTTTCCTGTGCATGATGGATACTGCTGGCCCACGTGGTAGCTTCACACTGGACTCTTCTGGGATTCTCGATAGAAAAACATTGGTTTTGAATGTCAAGATTCACCCAGCTCTTTTCTTCACACTCTCATTGTCAGCCAGAACTCTTTTAAGTCTTCATGCCTTAGTTAACAGGTAGCATGGGTGCAATGGATTTAAACTGCTTTCTGTATCTGTAGGGAAAGAATCACTCATGAATGAGTTAATTCCCAGTGCCGACAAGGCAAGGCAGAGGTCACATGATCTACGTGCCTGTTGCTTACATTCTTGTAAAAGGGAAGAGGTTGAACTCTTGTTTCTTAATAAAGTCACATATTTAAAAAGAAGAAATTATGGCAGGGAAAATTAAGAGAAGATGTCCTCTCTCGTCTTCTGTATTTCCTCCTTGCGCCCACGAGACATCTATACTTCTCAGTAAGGATGGCCTTACATGCTTATTGTCTCGAATAATCTTGTCTTCCATTCATGTGTTGAATTGTTGCTCTTTTTTTTTTGTCACATTTACTACAAAATGGTAATTCGCTGGATTTGTCCATGAATATAAACTCTCACCTCATCCAGGTGAATGTTAAAACAAGTTTCTAGAAAAACACTCACAATATATTGTAAGGGATTCTTCCCTTTGTCAGGTAAATACAGTCTGGTTTTGAAAGATATACATGTGTTCTGACTTCAATACAGTGATAGAAAACCTTCCTAGGCTTACGTTTGTATTGAGGATTTTTCAAAATTTATGAGCATCTGGAATGTTCTGAAAAAACATTTTGCCAGCATTACAGACCACTATAGAGAGCAGTTAATGAGGAAGGGTTGCCAGGAAAGGACAGTAGCATGAACTGCTGGATAGCTCAGTGGTTTAGGTATCTGGTTGGGAGTTCGATTCCCCACTGTGTCTCCTTGACAGGGGCTGGACTTGAAGATCCATAGGGTCCCAGCTCTGCAGTTCTAAGATGATGATTACCATCATCGTCAATATAGGCGGTTGTGTAAAGGTTATATAGGGCACTGGTTCTTAACCTTGGGTTACTCAGGAGTTTTGGACTGCAACTCCCAGAAGCCTTCACCACCAGCTGTCCTGACTGGGGTTTCTGGGAGTTGCAGTTCAAAAGCATCCGAGTAACAAAGGTTAAGAACCACTGATATAGGGAACGGAATATGTGAATAAAATGGGCAAATGGGGACACGTAAATTGGATTCAGCATGAGATTATGTTCATGTACAGAGGAGGAAACATTGCATATGTTTTTGTAGGGTTTTGTTGATCTTCACACTTATGCTTCACCTTCCTAGATGCTAGAATTTTAGACATCTAAGTAGACAAACCTCAGGGATGGAATTCAAAGAGCTCTTTTAGATATCTGTCTTTGTCTATCCATAGCTGGCCTAATGACTTTTCCTTCCTTTCAGGAGTACAACGCTCCACCATGATATATTAAAATCAACATTGGAAGCTCCCCTTGGTATTAGTTATGGTTTGTAGTTGGACGTGGAGAGGCTTTTTTGCCCAAGAAATATACATAAGTCAAAGGCCACAGCAGATGTTAAAACCTGATTACATTATTAGTCAAATCCCAACTCTGATATTTAAAGCTGGGGTCCCTTACTGGCTAAGGCTGTCATAAATATCTCTAAATTTAGTGTACTTGGTGCAACATAATCCTGATTTCAATGTCAAAGAATCAGATTGAATGAATATAATTTATATAACCAGAAAGCCTGTGCTTCAGATTGTGCCTCAGCCATCGGTTCATTAGGTGGTCTTGGGCAAGCCGCCCTTTGCAACGTGATGAGACTAGTTTATAATAGAGGGCTGTTGTAGTGAAGTCTATAGAAAGAGCTTTCACTATATAAATATGGAATATACTATTTTTGGGTCCAGTTAGTGAAGTTTTGGTTGTAGTTATTGGTAAAGTTCCCTTTCATTCTTTGCACACGCAGTCATTGGTACACAGATGGGGTTATGTATGTGCATGAAATTGGAGGGGAAGGAATAGAAAGTTATTCATAGCTTGTACTAAATCTTTAACAATATTGTAAAAATGGCAAATATAAGCCAAAACCAAAGATAGGTCTAACTGGGATTGTATGGGAGGGGGAAGCATACCCAAGTTTCTCTGCAGGGAAATGTGTGTCTGAAAAGAAATTCCAAGAGACTCCAGTCTGCCAGCTCCTCAATCTGCTTTAATTGTTTTTCATCAATTTAACAACTTTCCCAACTGCTGGCCTGTAACAGTTTTCCAACTGTGGTAAGTGGAGATTTTGTCCTCTATTGGAGCATTCTTAGATCTACTTTGCACCTTCAGATTTCTGGCAGAGAAGAATCCCAACTGTGCAATGTTTGCCATATCAAGAGACAGAAGATTTAAATTGGCCCTCCTCCAATTTCCAAGGATCTTCCTGCTTCCGTTCCTAGCACAGAAAGTTCCACCGGGATAGCAACATGCAAGAAAAACTTGTAGGAAGTAGATTCTTTGTGAGACCGGTTGGTTTGAGGAAGACAAAAGCAGCTTCCTGAACATAAAAAAAGCCAAGTCTTTAAATTGATTCCCCCGTCTCCCTGTGAAGGGTGGAGAATCTTTGTCCAAAAAAGGCGCTGCAATTGTATGTGAAGTACGTGGGTGACAGAGAAGATGAGAAACCAACACCTTCCCCCCCCATAGCACTTTACACCTTTTTCAGACACCCTTCCACCCAGTACAGACATGGTGTTTCTAACCTTTGCTGTTCATTGTGCAAATTTCCACCTTAAGGAATGTGCCATGAATTTCACCCTGCATCATTCTGATCTTTCTCTCCCCCCCCCCAAAAAAAAAGAAACGCATACCTGACAATAGAGTTCAGGAGGCTTTTTCCTAAGTGTTCCTCTCCAGAAGCAGCTGCCTTTCACAAATCTTAGTCATATATAATATCTATATATATATTACATATATTACACAGCATCATTTTACAAAAGCGCTTTTGGCAGGCGATCCCTCCAGCTTCCAACGTGTGAAGTCCTGACCAGCAAGGAGATTCTTTAACATTTTCCTGGTCCCAGTTTAAGGAAGAGTATTTATCAAAATGTTCCGTTGAAGAGGTGGGTGTGCTGCCCTTTTGCATCAGGCTGGATAAAGGGTTCGATTCACCCTCCCCATAATCGTAACTAAGCCAAAAGGACTCAATTCTCAGTTCATTTCTTTTGCCTGCCAGGCAATCTCTGCTTCCCCTCAGGCATCTCATGGTTTTTGGGGATGGCCATCGGATGTCTCAGCTGGGGCTGTGAGCAGGGCTGGGTTCAATGCTGTCGCTCACCAGGCACTCGTTGGATTTTAGGCTGGCTAAAGACTTGCAACTAGGCAAGGAGGCCAAGGACCCGCAGAGGCCCAGCATGGATGGAGTCGGGTCCTTTCCTGCAGAGAAAAGGAAGGAGACATGGGTTTTTAGAGGGATGCCCATTAAAACTGGGGCCTAATCCTGAAAGTAAGGGCCATGACTTGCACCCATTTTAAATTCCTCTAGGAGGTCATTAATTTGTGTCAGGGTTCAGCCTTTGATCCCCCTTACATGTTCCTGCATGAGGTCCACTTCCCCAGAGCATGTGTGTGGAATAATATCTTGTTTCTCTCGACTAGTGCCCTCCCCTGAAAGACTGGAGGTAGTGGGTCAGAAAGTACATCTTGTACGGAGACTTGGGGATCTATAGAATGGGTGGCTACCACTCTTATGGGTGAGAATAGGGATGGGCAGAATATAGTTAGGGCTCTCTGGGTAGACCTTTAGGTATATTGCAGTAGCCATGCAAGGGTGCCTTGACTTTCAAATGTGCAGTAACATTTGAAATACAGCTTTTTCCAACCTAAATTATACTGCAGAAGTGAAAAGGGCTTGGGGTAACCTGGGGTGGATTTTCATGTGACTGCAAGCTCAGTTATGCTTTGGAAAATGAACTCCTGGACTCAGCTTGTTTGGCCATAAGGATATCTATTCTAATTCTTAGGGCAGCATCCTGTTAGGAAACACAGCACGTAACTGTTTTGCAGATGTAGCACTGTGCAATCTCTGGTGTACAGTTATAAAGCCAGAGATTACCCCCATTCAGCCCAACCAGGCTTCTGCATGCAGAAGGGAGCAGTGAATGCACCCTTTCATAAATGCCAGGAAAGGAGTAACTGCCCATTTGAAAGTAGTATATTTGATGTACTACATGTGGCAGAGACAGGATCTTTCATCTAAGTGGTTTGTCTTTTGTCCATCTCTGGCTAGCTGCTGCTCTGGCTCTAGTAAAATATAATGTAGGTCTCATAAGACTGAAATCTGCTGCTGGGCATTAGAATATAAAATCAACTATTGAAAAGCAGTGAGAGAGAATGTTTGGACAGGAGTGTGCTAGTTAAATTTCAAAGTTAGAGGCATACTTCATTTATTTAAAATAATAAATAAATAAATAAATAAATAAATAAATAAATAAATAGAGAACTGTGTGCCTGCCCACCTCCTGTGCTTCTGCAGGAATAAGTGTTCAAGACATGCCTTCTGACTGCAGGAAGCCCAGGCCAGTTCACAAAAATGACATATGCAATGGCTCCACATGACAGGAGCATTCTCATTCATCTTGGCATTATTTATTGTTAAATAGGAATACCCACCACTTTTCTGACTGGCAAGCAGGACAAGACAATTAAAAATGAAGTTTTAAAACAACCCAAGCATTAGAGGTCATTGAATCTTCCAGTCATAACCCAATGTAAACTGGGCAGAATTATCTGCCACTAAGAGAGGACTGACTGGGGTGAAGCAGGCCCAGAACAGCATGTAGAAAGGCAACTGGCAACTCCTGAGGATTGGAAATTTCTCTGTATCCCTGAATCGAAAGCCACCGAGGCTTGCAGGAAGTAAGCAATGCAGGCAGTCATGCCACAAAGTACAGCATGTGTTATCCTGAAATCTTCACTTTCAGAAGCTGTTAAATATTGGAATTTTTTATTTCTTGCACTACACTTAACAGTCACCTCACAGCACACTAAGATGCCTCAGGACAGTCTGCGAAAAATCATGATTCTGTAGCATCACAGATGGGGTTTAATTAATATCACAATTTTGACCCAGAATCTCATTTTAGTGCTGTGGCTCTTTCTGGAAGATATGAAGCAGTAGGACAAAGGGGCTGCCTCTCCCCGCAACATGGCTCGAACAGGGGGAAAGATTTATAGGACAAAAATGAGTTTTGAAAAAAATCATTATGTTAATTTTGTTTTTTTTGGGGGGTGAGAGGGAGATTGCATCAAGCTATATAGGGTATCTTCAAAAGCATGTTAATATTGATATGATTTTTACTCATTAACATTTTAAGTACTGTATTGCTCTGCTTCCAGCAATAAATGAATGCATTTAAATATTCTTCATAATCAGAGGTAGAAGTACCCATAAACCTCCAACAGAAAGGTAGCTTTGTACATAGTCATTCATTCCCTAGTTACTTTAAAAGAGACATCAGCAATATAACAAAACAAAACATTTAAAAACAAAAGTTGTGCCTTTAAGACTAATAAATGTATTTCAACGCAAGCTTTACAGCCAGCTGCCTGGAGTCCCTGAACTGAAAGAATAGTAGGATATCAATAAAATAAATAATATATAAATAATCTGCTGTCTCGGGGATTTATTCCACAGCAGAAAGTCTGTTACTTTTTAAGATGCTGTTTGTTTTTCATACTAACGTGGTTATCTTTTTAAAAACTTAGCAGATTACCATAGTATTTATCCTTGAACATATAGTCTGAGCTAGAACTTCCTAAGCCTCTCACCTCAGTTTCCTACATGGATGAAGAGATCACAGTAATCAATTTCCTATCACATTCATCACCACCATGGGACATTAACACAGTTGAAAAGTACTGGCTTCCAACTTCCTAAGGATAATGTAGTTTGAGAAACACTTTCAGATGTTTGCATTTGGAGCAAAGCCAATTTTTCAAGTGGAGAATTAAGCTGAGATAGTAAAGAGGAGCCATGTTTCTATCTCTAGAAATTTCCAACAGGATAAACTTTGCTTTTTTTTTTGTAAGCTTCTGCGGACTTCTCAATGACTTTCAGTTCAAAGAACTGCATTTGAAAGTGGTTTAAGAAATGAGTGAATCTTCTGTTGGAGATGCATGTATCCCTCTGCAGTGTGGAGATAGCTTTCCCCAACCTGACAGTTTTAAGATATGTTGGACTTCCTCCTACTCCCTGCTAGCAGTTCTATGATGGAATCTGTCGTCCATCTGGAAAACAAATGCTGAAGGAAATTTTATTTTTGAAGGAGCCACTAAGTGTCATAGGTAGAAATCCATCTGCCACTTTCTGTACAGCCTGCTGTTTATTTCAAAATTGTAATTTAATTGACAAATTTCCAACAGTAATTCTATAAACTGAATGATAAACAACAAATTATTCTCATTTCAACACCCAAGAGTTGTGTTAGCACTGCTTAAGCTTTGTGCTGCTTGTTTTCTGAAACAAAGCACTGATTTCCCTTACAAGCAGCTATGAAATTATTTTACCCAGTGGCCCCCAGGGCTCTCCTTCATGCTTTCCTTCGCCCATCCTTTGGGAATCTGAACTTAGGCTGATTTCTGCTGACAGCTGGTCTGTACTCATGAAGCTGTGCCTGGCATGAAGAAAGAAGGAGACAACTTCACTTACATCTTTTTCTCAGAATTCAAAACATGTTCACAGTCATCATAGGCTAGATTATTGAATGGTCTATATCTGCACAGTTCCAGAGCACCCCCAGAAGAAGGGAATGGTAAATCACTTCTGAGTATTCTGTACCTGGAAAACCCTGGAAAGTCAGTCAAAATTGACCAAACGGCACACAATTAGTATTATTATATAAATTCTGATATAAAGGGCTGTTTCCTCTTTGTGGTCAAATAAGACAGCTTTACTGGTGACTGAAGTGGAGCTTGTTAAAAATGTTCCTTAAAAATCAAAACACCCCCTATATTTTGTTTTCTGAAATGATCACCCACCCCCTTCTGTGGATCAAAAATGACTACAGTACTGAGGATATATGCTTTTGGTCTTTAAAGACGATTGGGGGCCTACTTCTCTCTGGCTACAAGTGCAGAAATGGTAATGAACCTGAGTGGATTTGCTGTGGACTTCTTTGGGTTATTTTATTGTACTTTAGGATGAAAAAAGGAGAGGATCCTTCCCAGCTCTCTGGCCAGCTTTAAGATGGGCATTTTAAACAGACTCACACACTGTACGTACCTACTCTCTCACCTTCTCTCTTACCTTCTGTACATTTTGGCTTGTGAGCGACCTTGATTACTATTCAGCATACCCAGCGAGGGCCACTGGTTCACCAAAGGTGCTGCCATTTCCTTGGAGAGTTGAGTCAATTGGTTGTTGTCCGAGGGGATGAGGCCCGTCCTGGGGGCAGAGCGGGAGGAGGGAAGTCTGGTCAAGCAGGAGGGAATGCAACCTGTCAGCTCAAGGAAAGGGAACCAGATAAAATCCTCATGTGCCCATCCTCCAACTTAATCCAGTTTCTAAGGGTGGCAAAACGTAATACTTCAGAACACAGAGCAGGGTGATGGTGCTCTGATTCCAGTCCTTTAATATGTACCTTCTTCTGTCTCCTTGAGGTCATTGATGGGTATCCTTGGGGCGTTTAAAAGAATGAATGCTCAAATATGTTTTCACTTAAGAGGTGCCATATTGAATCACATACTGTCTTGTCTAATTCTTGTTAGAAATAATGCTAGTACTGGGTGATCTATTAGAAATGTGCCAGTAAATGAAATGGAGCCTAAGCAACCATTTTGCCTTTAAAGGCCGCAAAGGAATGACAGTAGTTCGGAGCGTCGTATTCGTATCCCTGGGGAATACGAATATGAAGCACGGCACCACAGGTGTCGCAAAGGTCTGTTCCCTCCTCCCAGAACCAGCCTGCTCCACTCACTGGGCTCCGTATGGTGTGCGCATCGCCTAAGCAACCATTTTGCCTTTAAAGGCCACAAAGGAATGACAGTAGTTTGGAGCGTCATATTCGTATCCCTGGGGAATACGAATACGAAGCAAAGGTCCATTCCCTCCTCCCAGAACCAGCCTGCTCCACTCACTGGCCTCCGTATGGTGTGCGCATCCATCATCGGTGACACTGTGCCAATTGTGGAAGTAGCCTGGCCTGCACTTCCCCGCCTTCCCACACAGCCAAAGGCTGTATAGCTGAGCAGGAAGACTCCTCATCCCACCTCCTTGCCGGAGTGGCTGGCTGCACAAGGAGGCAGGGAAGTGCTGGCTGGGCTACGTCCATAATGGGTGCAATGTCGCTGATGACAGACATGTGCGACGCACAGAGCCCGGTGAGTGGACTGGGCTGGTTCTGACGGAAGGGAATGGTGGGCCTCTGTGGTACCTGTGGTGCCACACATCATATTTATATCCCCAGGGATATGAATACGAAGCTCTCCTTTCTAGTTTGTAGGTGGCATGTCAGGTGTGGGCTATGGATAACTTGACCCTCTGGCAGGCAGGGCCTTTCTTACTATGTCCTTCCTGCACTGACATTATAAAAATGGACCTTACTGGCGCACTCCAACATCCACTTAACCTTCCTAAGTTAAGCAGGTGAGTATTGGGGAAGATGCACATTGCGATTGGTCCGATCGTTCTGTTCCCTTCTCCACTCTGTGTCTCTGTGCCATTCAGCTGATCGGTACTGGGGAGATGTGGGTGATAGGATTGTTGCGATTCGATTGTGTGCGTACATCCAGCTGCCTAGGCACTTAGAATAGCTGAAGAGATCACGTTGTATGTTCTTCAGTGATATCCATCACCAGTTAGGTAAGAGGAGGAAGGAAGCCACACAGAAATCAGCTGAGGGCTGCTTGGAACATATACGTTTGACCATATGTCACAGATGGGAACCTCTAGCTCTCAGGTTTTTTTTCTGGTCTACAGTTCCTGTTGGGCCTATCCAACATGGTGAATTGTCAGGCATTGTGGGAGCTGTAGTTCCAAAATCTGAAGTGAAACAGGTTCCTCACCTATATGTGGTCTGCCTTCTTTCCGCTTACTCACATTATAGACTGACTTTCTTCTAATTTTTGGTGGATGTCACTGCCCATGGTTCTGAAAATGAATTCAAGCTCCAATTTCTTGAAGAAAAAGCATCCTTGAGCGTCTGGTTCAGGAGAGATTGGTTCAGCGGGGAAGCAGTTGAAAGGGGAGCGGTGTGCAACCTTCAAAAATTTCCAGGGCCTGAAATCCAAAACTGCAGCTACAAAAATAATGGATTTCTGGGAATATTAAATCTAAATGGGAGAAATATTTCCTCATCTGACCTAGCTGTTGCTGGTTTTGATATTGAAAGATCAGTCTGCCATTTCAGAGTGATTATTGGTTCTTCCAGACACTTGATCCTTTTCACATTTATTGTGAAATAGTGCTGCTTATTCACAGAATTTTACCAGGAATAATTTCTCCCACTTCAAACCCTCCCAGTTTTTTCTAACACTTCATTTTTCCCCCTTTTCTCTACTTAAAAAAAAAATTCATAAAGGAGGGGAAGATGGTAGCGAAGAAACAACCTGTGTCACATTCAGAGCATGACAGCATTAACCAAAAATAATAAAATAATAAATAAATAAATAAGTAAATCACATTTTTCAAAGTTATATAAAACTTGAAATTTAGGAGGTAGGCCATATAATCAAAGGCCCTAAACTCTAGTTAAGTTAGCTTTTGCAAAAATCTGCCACTAGAAAGATGGAATAGTCCCACAATGTATCTCCTTAGCAGTAGCAACCCCCTGCCTGGATGTAACCCCCCCCCCAATGTTTTAATTATATTTCTCCATATTATGTATTTAGTTATACTCTGGAAAGGAGGAGTATATGTTTCCTTCCCCTGACAACACTTTTGGCAGTAAGTCCTAAATTAAATAAAATGGAGTTTTGAGTTTTTAGCCTTATAACCGTAACCCCAAGAAGCAAATATATAATATAAAAGTCAAGATATGAGAGAGAGAGAGAGAGAGGGAGTAGGGTTCGTTGACCCGATCAGCAGCATCCCCTTCCCTAATATTTCACAGGCAAACTCTGACAGTAGAAAGCATGTCCTTATGCTGTCAGAGGACTGGGTCCCTGTGCAGTCATAGATATCAGGCAGGCAAGAGTTTGGTGACCACTTTGTTCCAACTTTGGGCTAACAGGGCTGGTGGAACGTTACGTCATGATGCTGGTGGTTCTAATCCCTGCCGTGTCCCAAAGCTTCTGATGGACTCAATGTCCCCATGATAAAAAGCCAGGAGAAAGCATAGGGAATGGGGCACTTTGACTCATTTTCTCCTTTGAAGGAACACATGCAACCCTCCTCCGTTGAGCCAGGGAGCAGCAGCTGGCAATGAAGGGAGACACGTGCCCAGGTTTTAAGGCCACCTTGCACACCAAAGCCAAATATTCTTCTCCTACAGCACTGCTTGCCCTGAGATCTGTCTCCCTGATGGGCTCCTGGAAAAAACACAGCAGTTCTCCAATACTTCCTCAGAAGCCCTGAGACCTGGCAATCCTAATTGGTGGAGGGATTTGATAACAAATATGATAGGCACACACATATACAAAATAAATAGGAGAAAGAACAGGCTTTTGGGGGCATAGTTATGAGAAACCCTAGAACTGGGACACAGAATCTTTCCCCCCATCATGGCCTACATGTCTGTGCTGAGCATAACTAATGCTAAAAGCAGATGGCTTTCCTTTCTGTATCCTGTTCTAGTTCTGTCTCCTCCTCCTTGCCCAGCAGGTGGCTGAGAAGAGGAAGAAAGGGACCTTCTCAGAGGTCTGCACTGATCAGTTTCAGGGAGGGTTTGAAACAAGGGCAAGGAACAAAAGCTGTCCACTCATGTCCTAGAAGGGGTTCAAAGAGACCCCCTTCCCAATGAGCAGAAGAAAATGGTCAACCAAATGGGTCTAAGGGCCCCCTCTATGGTGGCTAGAAGAGAAGTGGGTCTGGACCTCCAGGTGTGGGGGCAGGAGAGCATAAGGGTTTATCCTACTTACAACTGTTCTTGTAGTTCCAGGATGACCCCCTCCAGCTCCCGTTTCTCTAACTGATTCTGCACTTTCACCTCCTCAAGTCTCAATTGCAGGCGTTTGTTCTCTGCCTCCAGGTCTTTCAGCTGGGACTCTCTCAGCCGAACTAGCTCTTCCAGGTAGCCCTGTGAGGTGGGAGAGAAACAGATTGGTGTGATGGGGGGGGCGGCGACAAAGGAACTACATGCAGGAAACTATCCCGTAGAAGAGGGATTGGCAGCTTTTGTAGGGCCAAGGACTCATTTTCTACCTGAGAGCCTCCGAGGGTGCAAGGACTGCCAACATTGCCCCTCCCTAATCCCCAGGGGGAAAAAAATTAAACCAAATGAATGAATAGCGTTCCAGTTCCGGCAAGTGGGAATATTTAAACAGAACTGAGATAGTTTGACAGGCTAGAACTGAGGAGCTTCGGGTCTGAATTTCTAGCCATGCTGGGCCTCCTCCAGATCTGCAGAGGAGAAAATTTCCCTAGGATACCACCAAGTGAGGAAATGGCGAGATTCCATTTCCATGCTTGCTTTGATTCTGTTAATTACCAGTGCACCCAGCTGATAATGTAAGCGTGCTTAAAGACCTGCACATTTAATGTCCCGTGTAATTTGAGACCTACAAGCCGCGCAGGCGTTGTGCCTGAGGTTCCGGTACCTTCTGCGCGTATACAATACGAAACTTCTGCTCCATCTTGCGCCACTTGTTGCGCCAGCTCTCTTCAGCAGTCACTAAGGGCAAATAGGGGTGATCCGGGGAACTGTCCTCACTTGTGCTGCTCTCCAAACTCCTCCGGTCCTCCTCATCGCTCAAGTAGTCATAGCTGCTTGCAGAGATAGTAATGTTAACTGCGGCAAAGTGACTGAGGTGTGGGAGTATATTTGCTCCCTAGTATTACTGTACATTTGTATAACACATGACCAATTTGCATAAAGAATTACAATAGGACTCCCATATCCATAGGGAATTGTTTCCAACCCCCCTCCTCGTGGATGCTAATAAACATGGATTACAATGAATGCTATTTTAATAGTGAATACTATACGTAGCATGGTCTCTGGCTCTCTCTAGTGGCCAGTTCTGGTAACTTCACCTTTATAAATACATATTTGTAGGATTTTTCTTTTAATATTTTTAATATTTTCACATCCTGAAATTAGCGGATACTGATCCCACGGCTAAGGGAGTCCTTCTATACTAGTACTTTGATATTCCTCATAAGAAAGAAGACATTTTTAGCTCTCCAAGTAAAAAGCACCTTTAAGGCTTGACCTACATGTACAGTTTGCTGTGTTCAAACTCTACTACGTGATTTTGTTGTAACACTTCAAACTAGTGTATGGTAATACCAGTTTTGAATACTTCCCTCCCCCAATCTGTTCATAGGACAAATATTAGCATATCATTTATGAATTAGTTTTCTACTTGCAGGGATGTTTTGTTTTCTCTTATGTGGGGAAACATTCAAAAGTGGAATCTGCACAAACTCATTTGAAATGTTAAAAGCTAGAGTTCATTCTACCATGTGAGGATTCTACTACTTCATCCTTACTACATTCTTCTGTATGTAGAGACCCAGTCTCAGTTTGGAACATGCAATTTTTATTGCAATTCTCAGAGGACAGAAAAGGAGGCATAATTAAAATTATTGTACATTATCTAGCCAATATAAATTTGTTCTTAAATCACAGACACATTAATCCTGATTGTTATGTTTTAGATATAAATACAGGCATGGGCAAACAAAAACTGAGATCTACCCTAATTTTGAATATTAATACAGAAGAAACTGCCTTGGCTACTTCAAGTGTCTTCTAACATAGCTTTCCCAGCCCTGAAGTTCGCTCACCCAAAAATATATCCACAAGTCCAGTAGCCATTACCTCTGTGTAAACTTTAGGTAAGGAGTGTAATCAATCACCACTGGAGTTTTGCCATCCATGATCTCCCCTTTCAAGCAGAAACTGCAGAATACAAAAAGGGCAGGAAGCAATGCAAGATTATCCAGAGATGCCTCAAGAGTGTTGTCTTTCGGGAAGACAAATGGTTGTGGATATAATTATTGATCCGTAAGAGGGCACCAATATATTGTGCTGACAACAGGATTCAGCATTCTATAAGCCAACTTCATAAGCTATTCACACTTGTTGAAAAATAGCCCTGACAATTGCTTTGTGTTTGGGTGAGAAGTGGTTAACTGATGAAAAAAGGAGTCAGCTTCTGGGATTTTCTCTTATGTGGTGTCACTTTGTGAATGGTAGCGAGCAGAAGAAGGCATCTGTGAATGGTAGTGAGCAGAAGAAGGTATCTGGTAGATCATCTTGACTTTTGCCATTGATGTTGTCAATATTCAGGCTGCCCTTTGCTGTGTAAAGCTTAGCATCCTTTTTCCTGTTAACAATGTGGAAAGCTTGGCATCCTTTTTCCTGCTAACAATGTGGGCACTATATTGTGCAGCAATGTTGGGCCATTTCCTGGCTCTTTGAATTGTGGGCACAGAAGCACAATATCTCACATTCATAAACCAAAGTTTTTTTTAAAGAATTGAATTATAATTCTACTAATTGTGGGCACAGAAGCACAATATCTCACCTTCATAAACCAAAGGTTTTTTAAAGAATTGAATTATAATTCTACCGTTGCACATTACCTCTGCTCCACCATTACAGTCTGCAGGAGGGAAAGGTGAGTGGGAGCATTGAAGGCATCAGAAACAATGGAGGTCCTACTCATCGACAGCATACTAACCAAGGCACTGATTAGTTGTTAAAACACTTGAGTAAAATGTCCTGACATCCAACCAAAACAAAGGCCACGTAGATGCAACTGTATTAGCCCAATTCATCCTCTATTGTCTTGATCCCCCTTTCCATCTTGTTTCTTGTTTGAAAAGTTTATTATAGCCACTGGCCATTAAAGCCATGAACATATACATATACATTTATTATAGCCACTGGCCATTAAAGCCATTAAAATGAACATTAAAATGAACAATAAAATGATATAACAATGGTAAAATTATACACCTAATAAGCTAGGATTTCCATTTTTGTTTCTCATGTTCATGTTTCTCATGGGTGTGGAACCTGAGCCTCGGGTGATGAAGTGCTGATAGGAGTGCCGTCCCGCCCCAAGGCAAATGTAGGCACTCAGACTGCTAATACACCTAATAAGCTAGGATTTCCATTTTTTGTTTCTCATGTTTGTGTTTCTCATGGGTGTGGAACCCGAGCCTCGGGTCAAGAAGTGCTGACAGGAGTGCCGTCCCGCCCCAAGGCGAATGTAGGCACTCAGACTGCTCCACGTTCCTTCCCTCCCAAGATGATATATCAAGCTGTCAACACCACCGACTTGGAAAAGGGAGTGAAAGGGTTATCTGTGGCAACCCAGACTACACTGGTTTTGGCGGGAAAGGAGGAGGGGGGAAGGGGAGTAGCGGAGGCAGGAGCAGGGGAGATCGAGGGTACTCGGGACATTATCCCGGGTGGATGGGAAATGGTGTGGATGCAGGACCCATGGATTGGGAAGTGGGAGCAGGTCTGAGTACCGAAGCAAGAGGCTGACAACCGGAGGAAGAAGGGACTTCCCCAGCGCCCGTCTTAATGGGGAGAGTCCAAGACCCGTGAGTGGAGGCGCAAGCTGAGGGAAGAGAAAGAGGCGGTGGAAAGAGAACGTGAGGCAAAAAGGGCATGGCATATGGAGGAGTTGAGAAAGATGGGGTGCTTCCTGGGCCCTGCGACACCCGGTTTGGTGAAGGATCCACGTTCTGGGGATGGAGGGGGGATGAGGAGACCACCCCTCTATTGATCCCAGATCCCGGAGACATCACGCCTCAAGAACCCATAGGGGTTCAGGCTGGTCCATGGGCTCCGAAGCTGACTAACCCGTTTGAGAAAGAAGACTGGTTACCCCTATCTGAGCCGTTGCTCCCTCAGGAGAAGTTCATTCCCAATTTATTGGATGTTTCTGTACCCATGCCACCTTTAATAAATGAAGACGAGTTTGTTGGTTTAAAAACGCCTCATGGTTTGTTTGGAACAGGGGAGGTTAGGACTGGTGGACCCTCACAATGGGTTTTTAGTAATGGGACCTTTTATTTATAAATAGAATTCTGATCAGCATTTGAAGTTATGGGAAAGTATCAGCTTTTAAAAAACTTTTTGGTGTGAGTCCTGCTTTTTAATATTTTTGTCCCCGTGATATTTTCATCTTCAAGTTTCAAAAGTTTTACCTACAGTCGTTATTGTGAGAAAAGCTGGACTTTTTTCATTGAAAAGTGAAATCTAGAACACCAAGAACCGAATGTTTATCTGGAAAACTTAATCTCTCCTATTCTTTGGTCACCGGTCCTATTTTTCTCTATATGTGACGGAGATTAGGGGGAAAGGATGCTTCTGAAAACAGACAGACTATCAGTATTCCTTCCACTAGAGGTAAAAATTACTTGGGATGCAAAACAGGAATCACTAAAGTAATAACAAACTCTTTTCAAATGAAGGAACAAATAAATTGATTATGTTGTATATAATTACCTAAACAATTTGTCTTAAACTGGGAAAGGATTCAGTAGCATTTCTGTTAAGCTTTTTTAAAAAAATCTGTGCTCTGTTCAAGAAACAATTCCTGTTCTCAGAACAACTAAAGCAGGCAAAGCAGAAAATAATATTTATTAGATGTTAAATACTTATAATATTTATCAGGAATGGAGGAGGTGAAATTCTCAGGAGGCTATTGGACTGTAACTCATCCCTGGTGGGAGCCACACCCAACATCTGGAGAACAGCACTTTCTACGTCCCTGATGTATACAAAGCAAATTTTAAAAGAAGTATATAAATGCACAGGTTTTCAAAATACAGATTTCGTGTGTCTTCAAACAGTGGCACCAGGAAAGAGCATTAGGAGGAATAAGGTATGAAGATACCTGAAGTCTATGGCACTGAGTCCAATCAGCATCCCTGTGAGGACGGTGGATTCCTCTCGCAGCATGATTGCCCCATCGTCATAAAATCTCCTGGAGGAGAAGAGATAATCTTTTGATTAAATCAATGGAAGAAGAGGGAAAGATATTTTTGACACAACTTTTGTCATGTTGCTGTGATGCCCAATAAACGACTGGGACTCACCTACTGACAGAGGTAGTGAAATGATCAGAGTATCCCCCAGTAAAATAGAACTTTGACATTCAGCACAGAGCTTCGGAATTTAGCCAAGTTTCTTTCTTGGAACACAGCTTTTGGGACTATAATCCAAAAAAATAACTTTCCTAAGCTTTGATAGTTCAGTATGACTCAGTTACTAGAAACAACAGCAACACAGAACACCTATGGCCCCCTCTCAAAATGGAAGAACTGAAGTGTCTATGTGAATGGTAAAGGTAATTCCATGTTGCCTCAAAGCTGATATTTGGCACAGATAACCAGGCCAAGGCTAGCATCAAGGGTCAGTAATAGAAGTATACAGATTCGTGTTTTGGACTACCACTCACAGAATTCCCCAGGCAGCATAGCTATAGAGATGGTAATGTAGAGCAGTAGATTCAACTGCCTGATCAGAAAGCAATACTCCAACAGGTAACCAAGCCAGGTGGTTGTAACGATGAAACATTGGGACCCATTCAGGGTGCTTTGTTCAATGGCCCTATGAATTCTGGGATCTGATACCAAACATAATGACTGTGGACTACTAAATGATCTGGTACTCAGCTGGCACGTTTCCAGGCCTCTATTAGAAACATACAAGAAACATGGCCTCAAAATGTTAGGGTAATTCTCTGCCACTAAAAAAAAGTGAGGGGCAATACGAATAATTACATACCACCTGCTAAAGCAAACTGGCCAATATCCTGTTTCTAGTTGTAACTTTCAGTTCATTCCTCTCTTGTAAACAAAGCACCCCTCACTGCAATTCTTGGAAGCATAGGCACTAAGTGCGCATGTGCATACACACATACACACAAGCTCTGTTGCTAAAAGAACATTCATTTAATTTGTAAGTGGGCAGTTGTGTTAGTCCATTATTGTGAAAAAAAAATAAGTGCCCTGTGCCATATTCACTGTTAACTAGTTTATTGTGGGATTGTATAAATTTTCCTGTGACACAGGGGGCTTTGTCTGACATAGTTTCATCCCAAGAGCAGACTAAAACATTTGGCTAGTGAAGTGAAGGATGAGATAACACCTCAGTCTTTCCTCAGTTCCACTCACGGAAGCTAACCAGATTGGCAATAGAATATTATTTCAGTGCTGAAGAGAACAGAGTAACATATGGAGCTTGAAAAGGCAGTTCCTGTGGCATAAACAGTTCTGTTGCTACCCTCCCTTCTATTTGCCATCTGAAATGACTGTCCCATTTTACCAAATGATCAGACCAGTCATAGGTGCATCTGATGACATGGTCTCCTTCATAAGCAACAAAGTCTATAGTATATTACAGTGAATGTATTAGTCTTCTTTTGCTATTAGCATATGTAAGAATGTTCGTGAGAGTTCTTAGATTTGTATTTTTGTTCTGAAAAACAGAGGGGATGGATTCTGTTTCAAAGTTTGCTTCAATACACAGTTTGTAGTGTTTCCAGAAATTGGCACATATGGTTTGGCCAGAGTCAAAGAGAAGGAATATCAAGGAAAACAACATGCTGTAGCAATTATTCACTGTTTGATACAGGCTCCAGAGACTCCCACCTGGTTGTTCTGGTGTCACGCAGTGCTGTGGCTATGTACTCAGACATGCGCTTTTCCATCAGTGCTACACGGATCCAAGCCCGGCCCTAAAAGAGAACGTGAATTAGAACAGGCAGAATAATCATTTGAGGCCCTGCAACCAGTGAGAGTTTACTAGCAACAGCAATTTCCTCACCCCCCCCCCTTAATCAGGCCAACAATGCCTTCATTAAAGGGTCTTCGTTGTACATTGAGACGGCCCTGAGAAAGCCAGTCCTGTCATAGCAGTAATTAGTTTTAACCAGTGATACATCCTATAAGGGACATACGGATTGATACACTAACTCCAGTGTGACTGGATTGTTCAGTCACTACCATTACAGAAACTCTAGTTTCTCATTCTCAGAGGAAGCTGCCCTTGACATCTCTGCTTGAGACATTGCTGTGGGCTCCTTCTAGAACTGAGGCACACCCCGTTTGGGCCTTTAGGTCAAAACAGAGTGGGTGGAGTACACTGATAACTTGGTAGTTTTTTGCCTTTTCACTAACATGTAAAGTGTGCCAGCCATTTTTAATTTGAGAAGTAAATGTACTTCAGCTGTAAAATATATATCCGACCCTATTCATCATTACATAAGTGCCCATGGACAAATTATTCCATGACCAATTGGCCACTTACTATTAGGGAGAATTGAAGAGAGGTTTTATAAAGCTGAACTTGGTCTATATGCAGAGAACATTATTTTAATGAACTCTGAGCCAGGGAAGTCATACATAACCAGAGGTGATAAAGATCATAAAGTATTTCAATGAGTCAGGAAGTTATTACATTAGCATTAATAATAAGGAGAATCCGAAAAGGAAATCAGGAGAGAGAAAAAATAGCAGACTTAAGTCTTAGGTTGCTTTGGTTCATAATAATGAAAAGGGTTATTTTACTTCATTTTCGTATTACAAGAGGTCATTCAAAGCTTTGGAGCGATGTGCCACTGATACGCTCCTCATCCCACAATGCCAAGGAAGCAGTCAGCACCCTTGAACATTTCATGGGCTCAATAATGGGCTGGATGAGGGTGGAGAAGACAGAGATGCTGCTGATTAGTGGAAAGTCAGATACGGGAAGCAGAACTCAACCTGTTCTAGAAGGGGTTTGACCTTCCCCTTTGCAGTCAGGGAGTACCTCTTTACTCTACACTGGGAATTCCAGGTGGCAGGGATGACAAGGAATGCTTTTGCATAGTGCGCCAGTTACAACCTTTCCAAAGTTGAACTGACTTAGCAACAGCCATCCATGCCTTAGCTGCATCCCATCTTGACTATTGCAATGCATTCTATGCAGGACTTCAATTGGTGTAATATATGGCAGGCAGGCTATTAAATGGTGCATGGCATTATGAACATTCAACCCAGGTACCAAAAGACTGTACTGGTTGCTAGTTGCTTACCGGGCCAAATTCAAGGTGTTTTTTAATCTTCAAAGCCCTGAACAGGCCACAGTTATCTAGGGGGCCACCCATCTCATTCTGAGCTTGTCTGGATGTTAAGATCTTTAGGACAGTCCCTCTTTAAAAAACCCTACAGTTTAAGAAGACCTCCTAACATGCACAAAGAAGAGGCTCCAGGTAGTGATCTGCTTCCACTCTTACTGATTTTAAGAAAACAATAAAAACACATCATATACCATATCTTTTTATACTGGTGTATGAGGTCTAACCTGCTCTGATGTGCTTCTTTTAATCATCATCTTAGAACTGCAAAGCTGGATCTTGTCTAGGTGGACCAAAGCTATGGATCTTGTCCAGTCTTGTCAAGGAGGCACTGTGGGGGACTGAGGTCCAGTCTTGTCAAGGAGGCACTGTGGGGAAGTGAGCTCCCATTTGATGGCTCTGCAGCCGGAGATCTAAACTAATCTGTATCCTTTGCTGATTTTAAAGGCTTTCAATGTATTTGCTTGATCTTCATGGTTTTATGGAAGGACTAGTTTATATGATTTGATTATTTTTAAAACTAACTGTGGTTTCATCTGCTTTTATTCTTTTAGAAAGTTTGTAAGCTTCCTTGTACACTGTCTTTTAGTGCAAAGGCATAAATACATAAATTCAATGAAGAAATATATTTAACATCCTGATTTTGTAAAATTATAGATGATGTGGAGAAAATGAATACAGAGGAATTATCTTCCTCTCTTACAATATTAAAACAGTCCTGGCAGTATCCCGTGTCTAAAAGCACATTGATTTGGCAAGTCAATCTTACTTCAGCAGAGCAGCCCTACCAATTGTTCCAGAAGGGAACAAGACACTTTGGAGGGGATAAGGATTTGTCCTTCAGCCTCATGATTGCCTCCTGCCTCTAGCATTGGCTATCTTTCTGCCTCATGACAGCGTTTAACCCTGACGGGGGTTGTCTCAACCTATGAGCCCTTCTGACCTTGGCTCTCGAGGTGCTGATGTTCTCCATGTTTTCGATACTGCTGACACAGTTATTGGGGACTTTGCTGCAGGCCAGACGAATATAATCCCAGAAGCCACGTTGCCCATCAGAGCTGAACCAACTGACAGGACCTGAGGAATAGACAGCGAGGGAGAAACAGGTACAAAAGGCTGTGAAGAGTAGACCCATAACCATTTTCCCTGGCTGCCCATGGCTGGTGCAGCTGAGTTATAAGCGTCCCTCAGGATGACACCTACCATGGTCTCCCTTGAAACGATGGCTGAGTATGTGCTCCAAGATGGCTGCAAAGTTCACAAACTCCTCTGACGAGTCATCAATGGGCTCGATTGCATATTTTTCAAGTAGGGTCTTCACAGAGAATCTAGAAGAGATTGCAAAGTATGAAGTGGATAGGGGAGAGAGGGTAAAAATAACTTTTCAGAAGTTCCCCTCACCTTCCCAATTTTGGGCCCTAACCACAAAGAACAGTTTCTCATTTCTTCTAAAGATGTGTATGAGCAACATCTCTCCTGTCCTGCCATAAAAGAATGAATGTTTGCTAAATTTCCTTTGAGCCAGAATGTAGCAGCCTCAGCCCTCAAACATGTAAAGTACCCTCTGAATAAATACAGACCGCAGTCACTGCCTACTGCCTTCCCTTTCCTAACTTTTGGGAGTGGGGCAGAGCTGGCTAGTCACATGGCATAGTTCTCAGGAAGGTTATGTCCTAGTCCTCTTTGTTTCTTTTTCTTAATTCACCAGGGATAAAATCTGCTCTACTAAAGCTTTGATAGCCATTTGCATTGCACATGTCAGGGGTTCGTTAACACTGTCTTCCAAGAGCCTTTTCCATGGTGACTGGTTGGTTACAGAGTTTTAAAGCATCAAAGTGTTGTATTCTGATTAGGAGTACTGGACTATGGGTTGGGAGATCCAAGATCTACTTCCAGCTGATCCAACAAAGCCACTGGATGACATTAGGCCAGTCACCCTGGCCCTCCATTTGACTTATTTCATAAAGTTGCTGTCATGAGAACAAAAGGAGGAGGAAAGCTATTTGTGCCACTTTGCGCTAATGAGGGGAAAGTTTTGACATAAATGCAACAATGTGAACCGGAGCAGGTTTTCAGATATTTGGGGAAGCTCTCCTCTTGATTGTGCCATCTTCACAGGCATATTTGGTAAGGACATGTGGGAAAGCCTTTTAAATGGCTCCTCCCAGGATGTGAAATGCCTGGTATTTCTAGATGTTCTCTACTACAGTCTACATCAGCCCTAAGCAGGATCACCAGTGCTCCTCAAAGATGGAGGACATAAGCCTGTCTTATGAATTTCTGAGGAATCCCAGGACAATATTTTTGAAAACTTGTGCCCTGTATCAATGAATGGATGAGAATGGCAGAGAGAGAGAGAGAGATTTGAACAACATTTTGTTAACCAAAGGGGACTGCACATGTGAGGTGTTTAATGCTGCTTATGACTCAACCTGCTAGGGATGTTTTGTTCTGATTTGCTTGTTTTGTCCTACTCTCAGAAGGAGAAGCTACAGTTTTTCCTTGCCTTGTGAGATGGTGAGATATTTTTCTGTCAACACTGATGAGAGTTCTAACATTTAAGAGGATGATTTTTGTACAAATTGTGCTACTGAGCAAAATGATTATTGGTGTTGCTTTATCGCATGGACTTCTAAAATTTAGTAACATTATCTGTATCTTCTTTTAATTTTTTAAAAAAACTGTTATTTTAATGATAAGATATAGTAATATTATTCATGCCCGTTTGCCCACAGTGAGAAACATGTTCATGAAAATGTTTCCTGTACAACTTAAAGGAACAATGTTACACTGACAGAATGATGGTCAGAAAGAAGGCGGTTCCTACTGAAATCTGGGTTAGTCAGTTAAACCATTCTTTGGAAAACAGTAGATGATCCAGATGGGAGTAAACTGGAAAATACTTAGGTAAGAAGAAATAATTGCTGTTTCCTTTCATGCATCCAAAAGATGCACTTCCTTCAATATTGAGAACTGTACACTCAATTGGGAAAAGTTTTGCTAGAGCAACTCATCAAAGGTGGAGTTTAAGTCACTGCCTATAACTAATTTGCCTTCACAAAATGCCTCCAGTTGGTTGCCAATATCTGCCATGAATGCATTTTGACAGATACTTGGAGAGAGATACCTATCCTCCAGTGTACCTTAAATGAACACATAGCAACCGTTAGCATTACCATTAAACCTCCTTCAATGTAATCTTTACACTAGTGGAAAATATTCTCAATACTTTTTGGGGGGATTTTTGCAATCAGTGAATATTGTTTTATGTTAGGTTCATCATAAGATGAGGAACAGGTCTCCCCTATGATGGGAGTCCTGCAAAAGAAGAAGATCTATAATTGATAAATTGTAACTTAAAGGTTAAGAAAGCAGAGATGAAATAGAATAATTTCTATGATATATGGGGCAGATTTCTTGAATATGTGGTAACAAGAGGAAAAGGGAAAGCTCCAAATCAGGAATCGATGCAGTTGTGGAGAAGAGGACAATAAAGGAAGAAGAAGAATAAAGACAGAGGAAGAAGAGGATCGCTGCAAGAGGTCCCGACTAGGGTGGTGGGGAACACAGTCAAATTGTATTTTGGTTTATGTGTCTTATGTTTATGTTTATGTTGTAGTTCAAGGGGGGAAATTAAAAAAGAAAATCAGAATTGTTATTTTTATATGGGAATTAATCCTGATCTTTTCTTTCTTTATCACAGTACCAAACTCCTAAAATTCCATGTCAAGACCTTAAAATTAGTCATCATCCATTACGTAGCATAATACTGAAAAGTGAAATTGGCCATAAGCGAAGCTAGGGAATGCAATTTTTGTGTTATAAACTTAAGTACAGAATGTTCCTGTTCCTTCCCCAAATGCAATCAACCCATTAAAATAACAGGTTAAGAAGAAAAGAATAATTGTTGTAAGCTGCCCAGAGACCTTTGGGTAGAGTGGGCGGCATATAAATTAAATAAATAAATAAAAAGAATACAGTAGGACCGCAGTATCTGAGGGAAATCCTTTCTAACCCACTCACCCCCTACATATGCCAGAAAAGGCAGATATAGTGATGCTTATATATAGCATAGTCTCTTGTTCCCTTTAGTGGACAGTTCTGGTGATACATCTTGGAATTTCCGCCCCACCCCACCCCCCCATATTTCAGAGGGTTTTTAAATTTAATATTTTCAGGCAGGAGATAAGTGAACCCATGTGGATATGGTGATCCTACTGTATATTTGACATTATACCTGTAACAGTAACAACATGACACTAAAATTAATCATCCATTAGCCTCTATGCTTGAGTTTCACAGACATCTCCCATTTAAAGACAACAGTAGAAGGGCTGAACCAGGAGAAAGAAAATCTCATTGAAGGTGGGAATTGTGCTTCAGAAGGAAGCAAAACAGGTAAAGAATACATGCTGTCCCTGGACAGTAAAGATGTGTAGGTGGTTATAACTTGGTAAAAAGCAGCAAAACAGGAGACAGATATCTCAGATATCCTCCAAGGGCTGAAAAGAAAAATTCCGGAATATCTTCTGTCCATTCTCAGTCCTGGTTAGCTGATGAATCTATCCATAGTGACTTTCCTGCTTGCAACAGCCATACTGAAGTCAGCTGTTTTCTTGCCTCAGCAGGCATTTTGCACTGGACAGTTTTTCCTTCCACAGTGAGAATTATTTTGCTGGGGCAGCCCATGTGATATATGTATGCTGTTGCTTTGTCTGAGAATCTTTGTATGCTCTTAGCAGACATTCTGGTGCCTCGGGGTGATCAGACTTGAGGTGAAATATTTGCGCTTCAGCAAATGATATTCAACAGACCAGTGATTATGCAGTGATCCCAAGATAACGTATTTCTTCTCAAAAATAGCTCTTTTTTTCCTGCCATTTCCCCATAGCAACATTGTCCACAGCTGTCTACAAGAGATGTTTTCTGCACTTGGGATTTCGGGGTGAAAAAAGCCATAATTTGCCCCAGACCATTCTTGAGCTATACCTCTGTATAAAATGATGGTCCATGGAATTAGCTATAACAGTTGATAAATTAGGTGACACCAGATGCTCACTGGTTTTCTACATCCTTCACATTAGTGGTTTCCAACCTTGAGCAATCCAGGTCTTCTTCTTGAACTGCGACTCCCAGAAACCTCAGCCAACATTGCTAGTGGTGAAGGCTTATGGGAGCTGCAGTCCAAGAGCACCCGGGCTACCCAAAGTTGGGAACCACTGCCCCACCACAATGTCACCACTCTCCACTCAACCAGGTCTTTTTAATTAATCAGCCAGTGATTTTTTTGCTTGATGTATATGTGCAACATCTGGTTCCCTAAGAGAAAAGAGACTAATTTTGCACAGACATTTTGCACAAATTACAGAAGCCCCAAAGAAACAAACCACACTCCTTGTCTCATTCTCACAACAGGCGCAAAACAATCTTTCAGGAACCAGTGTGTCAAAAGCCTGCCTCATGGAGAATTAATAATGCTACAGGGTGTTTTATTTCACATTCCTACCTTCACTTCCCTACTACTTCTTCATTATCACTTCCCATAGGCCCCTTCTGCAAAACAGGCAACTTAGAAAACCAAGGAAATCTATCGAAGGTCTATGTAACCATGATATCCCCCCCTCACTTTGCTGCTGTATATCCATCTAGTTTAATGCATCTTACTTCTAACAGCCAAATTGGAATGCACCATCCCTTTGATGCCCACACCACTAGCTGGCCCACAGCTTGTTTGATACTAAGGTTCATCAGAAAAAGGCAGACTAACATGGAAAGAAAGTGGGGAGAAAGCATTTTGGTGGAATCACACATCTTTTCAAATGCTGTGATGAATTCTTAAATTTCACACATAAAGAAAATCTACAGCATTTAAAATAAATTAACAAACTGTCAATTAATATTTGAATCAAAGTTATACTAAGAAGAGACTCATTTGAAAGGTGCTTCCAGATTAGGCTTCTAATGTTCACCTTGTCTTGCTTCTTTCAACAATTATATAGGAGACCAACTAATACTGTCATACACTTGTAATCCTGTCACATTTTCCCATCACTTTTTTTTCTTAGCGGCAGAAAATCCATTAAGAAGGAGAAAATCCATTAAGAAGCACAACTGTTTTTATAGTCATGCATAGGAAATTGTGGAACTGAAGCACCAGGGGAGGTGTTCTGCATAAACAGCAAAATGTTAAGGATTCTCTTCCTTTTACTATTGTTTCATTCACATCCATGCTTAATACAACTAACAATCAGAAAAACCAAACCAGCAAGTTTTCTAACCCTGTTGTATAGCAAAAGCTAAACAAGCTAAACAAGGTGTGGCACCTTGA